TCTTGGTTAGTTTATGGATTGTGATATTTAGCTTGTGTTTGAATCTATTTTTGAAGAGAATAGAAATTTTGGAATAGTGATTGATGTATGGTGGAAAAGTGATGAAAAGTTTTTGATTTGTGTGTAATATTATTTTGTTTGGAGAATCTGTGTTTGAAATGAAGAAAGAGAAAAAAAAAAAATGAGAATGAGAATGAGAAAAAAATGAATGTCAAACATAGGCTTAATTTCAACAAAAACGTTGAATGTCTGTGAAATGGAATGGTCGGTGTTCAACAAACCACATTTAAATTGTCTTCTTTGAACAGTGTTAATTCATTATTGTCTTCAATATTTTCAGCCACATTCAATGCATATGCTGACAAGTCATCATTAGCATACTTTTGTGGAAGTTTAATTAACCTCCCATGTCTTTTCTTAGAAAAAATAGAATATTGCGGTACCGCGGGTGGTGGTGAAGCAATACACACACACACTCTCTCTCTCTTCTACAATAGACTGAGCTCTAAAGTTTGGTTTAGATCTCGAAACCGATTCTCAACTTCACCTGAGTGCTTAGTTCCATTCGAGTTGACTCACCAAAATCCTTTTTCTTTTATACAAAGAAACAATTAATTATTGATTTGCAAAAATATGGTGGTATTATATCTTTAACATCGAATTTATGGGAATGGATTAATAAAAGAAGTTATATAATTGCAAGTGCACACTACATAAACTCACTTTGGTGTATGCATAAAAAAATTATTGGTTTTAAAATAATTGAGTTCCCATACAATGCTAACAATATACTGCGAGAGTAAAATTCGTTCGTTTACATTTGATAACGCTAGTGTTAATAAACATGTTGTTGACAAGTTGTGCAGGGTATTGCTACCTGATTTCGGTAGTTATTTATTTCATGTTCGTTGTTTGTATCATATTTTTAATTTAATAGTCTAAGATGGTTTGAAACATACTAAGAACGAAATTTGAAGCATTAGGGATGCACTAATATATATATCACGATTTCACCTAATAGAAAATAAGTTTTCAAGGAATTTTGTGCTGAATTTGAAATGAACGATACGAAAACATTTGTTAGTGACATAGGATATAGATGAAACTCAACTTACTTATTATTAAAATCATGTGAAAGATATGAATATTTAATAACTGAATTATATAAAAGTAGTCATATTAGAAACGATGATGACATTATTTTGAATGAATCAAATTGGATGTTAGCTTTTAAAATTAAAAAAATTTTGACAAGTTTTTATGACTCTACAAATATTTTATCTGGAGTTTATTATCTCACTAAATGTATGATTGCTTAAACTTCTTTATATCATTGTGGGGGTCCTTTGATAAATACAAAAAAATGACCTGAATTTTAGTGAAATTATATTTTCTATGGAATTAAAGTTTAAAAAATATTGGGAAGACTTTACTATGTTATTTCATTTGGCATGTATCAAGGACCAACAATACAATTTATCAGGTATTAAATATGTAATTGATCAAATTTGAAAAGCTTTCACTTATAAAAATTTAGAACAAATTTTATACTAAATATATGAATGATATGCACAACGAATGTGTCCAAATATTAGTTTGGCACCTTCTACACCTACCCCTCCCACTAATCTTGAAGAACACGAAGATGAAATACGGAATTTATTTGAAGGCATTAACACGTATAGATATGATACAGTAGGTTCTTCTTGTATGTCTACTGTATATAGACATCATATGAAAGATCAAACTATTGCTTGCTGAATTAATTGATTACTTTAATCATCATAAGCCTAGTAATGTATTAATTAGAAAATGTTTAGAAGAAGTAATTGAATTCTGATGAAAGTACAAACAACGATGGCATGTAGTATTTGAGATTACAAAAAACTTACTAACACCTCCGATTAGCATTGAAAGAAGATGTTTTGAAAACATTAATGAGCATGAAGAATTAACAAGACACTTATTTCCGACTACAAGATAAGTAATATTGTGTGTCATCAGGTAAATGATATTTAATTTAATCATATTAATAAAATTTGTTTTTTCATAATAAAATTTTTAATTTTTTGAAATTTTTTACACATAACAAGTTGTTCGTATTCAATTTTAAACTGATCCCAAGCTCGGATAAAGGAGGAATTTTTTTTTTTTTAAGAAAAAAATAAGGAAATTCAAAGAGCTTATAGGCCAAGCTCGGCTTGGCCCACGAGCCACAATTTCAATGGCTAAGCCAAGCTTGGCCCTTGAGTAACGAGCTGATTCAAAATGAGCCTCGAGAACGGCCTAGGCCATTGCCACCCCTACCTATATATAATTGACTTTTCTTCATAGTTAGAATAAGTTAAATAAGAAAATACAATATCTTTGTATTATTTCTCTATATTATAGTGACTTCTCTATTCTTCGACCAAATTTACTGTGTTCTTCTTGTGTTGTGATCGCTATTTCATTTATTGCCATATAACCTCGTTA